AATACTGCTAATTCCCAGCCAAGTAGAACAAGTTTTGAAAGATCCTTTGATTTATAAGAACTGCCAACAAAATTTTTCTCCTCAACTTTTAACCTAAGGAGACGTTTTGCAAAAAGTAATATACAAAGACGATTTTCTGCCTGTATTAGCTTAAATTGCTAACAAAAATTTGGAGGCTCATTAGTCGTAATTCATTTTGCATCGCTTTAGTTCTGTCACTATGGAATTTCACTATTCTGGCAATTCCAGGAATGTTATAATAGAGTTGTACTCAAATACCCAATGAAGGAGATTTCCCACTCTCACCCCCAGGCAGTAAACCACCTTTATACAAACTCCACATAAAAGGTTAATCTGAAAGTTAGGACAATTGTTGTAGTGATCTGGTTTTCTGATTTCTATTCTTATTAGCATAATGTTGTTTTATGGCTTGATTATACCTATACTTTATTTCAGTCAGCTTTGGACTTCAGTCAGTTTTGGAGTTTACATCTGTTGATATCTTAGATCAGGGGTGTCAAAACTGATGTCACGGCATTGTCACGTGAGGTATTGGGACTTTTCCCCCCTTTGCTAAACTGGGCATGAGTGTGGCCAGCGTGTGATGCATCTGGACTGTGGGCTGCAAATTTGACAGCTCTGTCTTAGATGAAAGGCAGATTAAAAATTGCTATTACTCACTTGAACACATTCATATATATATATGTTTTCTGAGGTTTTCGCGGGTGTTGGTATGTAGGTCTTTGGTTATTCGGGTTTTCTCCCGCATAAAATTGGAGGTTTCTTGGCAACGTTTTGATGAAGTCTCATTCGTCATCTTCAGGCTGGTGTTCTCGGCTTCGTGCTTCTAGGAGCAATGTGTGTGATCGCAGCTGTTTCTTCCTCTTAACTGCCAGTGGGGGTGTGAACTGATTGGGTGGGAGCTTGGCTATGTTCTGATTGGGCGGAGGTGTGTTCTCATTGGTTGGGGGTTTGGCTGTGCTCTGATTGGCTGGGTGTGTGTTCTGTTTAGGTGGGGGCTTGGTTGTGCCTGTCTACCAGCCATTTGGAAACCCGCCCTTATTGACAAACGAGTCCCTAACACAAAGAATGACACCAGACCCACACTCACGAGAGCCACACAGGATGTAACCAGCACACATCCACGCAGAAAGCAGACTCAAACCCACACTGATGAGGAGGCACGACCACGGACCAGAAGCCAGACCACAGCTACATGATTAGCCACTTTAAACCCCTCCAATTCATACATGAAGCAGACTGACACCCACAGACTGAAGAGGTAGCATGGCCACGAACACGAAGCCAAACAACAGCAACACAGCTCACCAGCTCAAATCCCCCTGCTACTCAGACTAACCCGAGCACAACCAAGCCCCCACCTAAACAGAACACACACCCAGCCAATCAGAGCACAGCCAACCCCCCTTCCAATCAGAGCACAGCCAAACCCCCAACCAATCAGAACACACCTCCGCCCAATCAGAACACAGCCAAGCTCCCACCCAATCAGTTCACACCCCCACAACAGCTGCGATCACACACATTGCTCCTAGAAGCACGAAGCCAAGAACACCAGCCTGAAGATGATGAATGAGACTTAGTCGAAATGTTGCCAAGAAACCTCCAATTTTACGCGGGAGAAAACCCGAATAACCAAAGACCTACACACACACACACACACACACACACACACACACACACACACATATATATATGTATAGTTTTGAAATAAAATTGCATAAATAAATACTATTAACAGTGGCTCTGTAATTTTATGAGGCATCTGTAGGGTTAGCTTCTAGTTAGCTTGTGGTTGACATATTAATTTTAGGCTAATATTCTACACCAGAAAAATCACAGATCAGTCAGTTTCTCAGAAGCGAGATGCTGTCTTGTCATAAAGCAGAATACATTGATACTTTTTTCAGTGTCATTGTAACTTCAAATGGTCACTAAACAAACTGTTATAGGTCTAGGACCATCTGTGTAGTAGCAATATAAGAGGCAGTATATATAATATTAGGCTTCTCCTCCTCCTCCTCCTTCTTATCATCATGATCATGATCATCATGATCTATTATTATTATTAATATTAATCAACTAATGGAACAGAAGTTGCCTTCAGGAGTTGTGGGAGCTTCATCACTGGAAGCTTTCAAGAAGAGACTGGACTGCCATTTGTCAGAAATGGTGTGGGGTCTCCTGCTTGGGTGAGGGTTTGGACTAGATGACCTACAAGGTCCCTTCCAACTCTGTTAATCTGTATCTATTCTGTTTTCATTCTGCTTCTTCTTATATCTGTCTGAAATTTCTGTCTATGAGCCATGCATTCCCTGACTTCCACATTGCAAAGGGCAAGAGATTTATTTCAAAATGTTGCCTTTGGCCTTTCTAGCTTTAAATGAACTGCTATTTGTTATGATATCAGGGGCTCTTATCCTAGTACACTTAAATTCTTAAGTAATATGGTGGCAATGTTTGGACCATGTGTGTGTATAGGGGGGCAGCTGTGGCCCCTTGAATTCTTATCTACACTAATTTTCATATGAGAAGGTTCTTAGCGCTCTTGCTGGTTGTGGGTAGATATTGTTGCTTTTTACATCTTGGAAAAGTGGCAGTTTTGTAAAAGTGAGGGCATAGTGTTTGAATGGAAAATGGGATGTGAAGGACTACAGCTCCAGCATAGCTGGCCATTGGCCATGCCAGCTGAGATTGCAATTCAGGGCTAGGAGTTCCCCACTACAGGCATAACAAAACAAACCTTTTGTGACTCTTGACACGTGGTGATGTAGTCTTGCAATACTAGTAGAATATGGGTAGGAAGCCACCTGTTTTCAGATAAATTGGGGAAAAAAAGGCAGCATAACCACACAGAAGACTTCGGATCTGGAGTGGCTATATTTCTGCCCAAAGTCCAGCGTTGCCAGAGAGGGAGAGGGCAGAAGTGATATAGGGGGTTGTATGCATGAAATACAGAATTGGGAGCATTTTTCCCTGCTATCATTTCCTTTTAAATATTTCATTAGTGATGCTTTTCAGTCAATATTTTACATTCATTAAGTTGCTTTCACATGAGAGGATCCATATCATTATGGACAATAGATTAGAAGCCAAGAATTTAAATTGTTAACCTCAGTTTGTATATGGTGACCTGTCAAAATCAGAAAATAATCCCCTTCTTGCAATAGATTTAATATGGTTCTCATTTTAATGCTTACATTTCTTTGGTGAGATTTTAAATGTAGGTCCACAGTTATTCCTTTGCCAGCATTGCAGCTAGATTTATATGTACTTTTAACAACAGTAGCCTGAGCTGTACAAGAAGAAAAAAGTGTACATTTAGTGAGGTCCTGAAATGTAAAGGACTTAATTCTGTGCAGTGCTGTATATAGTGCATGTCATATCGTTAAATTAGGAATAGTGAATTTGTTACCCTTAATATAATCTGGACTACACATTTTCTGTATTTTGGCTAAGTCAGGGACTACATCACATGTATGTAAAACATCTGGAAATCATCAGGTTTCATCCTTGAAGAAACAGGTTCCAGAGCTACAACTTAATTTGTTGGTTCAGTATAAAAACATAGCAGGAACCAATTAAAGATTTTACGGAATTCATGAGCAGATTTGAAAAAAACAGAACAGCTCTTTCCTGCTTTGTCTTCCCAGGAAAAATGTATTTAAATAGAAGATTCTTCAGAATCTGGAGGTCCTGGTAGAAATTTTTAGATTAGACTAGACTGGACTGGACTGGATTGACAGACAGACGAGAGAGCGCTTGTGTTTCCTTTCCTAATCAGCCATCCTATTTCATTCATGTATATTTTTTTACAAATTCTGGCAATTGTTTTTAGAGCCCCAGGTTGATGCAGACCAATGTAAGAGTAGGAAAGCAGGTAGAATTTTTTTCTATCTTTTGTAGTTAACTATGCAAAATTTTATATAACACTATCTGACTGTAATTTCCAATTCTCATCTCTCCCAGTAAATTAAATGCAGGCGTAACTATATATAAAGGAAATGTCTGTCTGACTAACTAACTGTCCTTCTGACTTTATATGTGCTACTGAAATTTTTATGAAATTCTGTTGTGGAAGTGTATGCGCAGATTTCAACATATGGTATATCAAGTCTCATTTTTCTGTATTGTTTCTCTTTTCTTTGCTATGATAGGTTTTGGTTTTCTAATAAAGAACAAGGTTTGTCCTTCTCTGATGGCAGTTTTATTTTGGAATTCTATGGGATGCAGTTCCCCTTAACAACGCCTGCTCTTCCATGTGCTCTATAATGTTCTTTGTATGCATCTTAAGCAAATGTACACATTGCTGTGTATTTTCATTAAAATTTTCAACTTTGATAGCCTTGATACTATATAAGAGCTATTTAGGTGGGTTCCATTTGGAGCACTAATTTCTTTTGGCTAAAATAGAATCTCATCCACAAATGTATATCACAGTAAATCTGTTTACTTCTGCCATACTGCAAACCTTTTTCCTCTCTTACTACAACAGATTTATTTGGCTCTCCTTTTAAATGTTGTATACATTGGTGGCGAACCATATCTTATGCTACTATAACTATGAATTGTGCATGGATTTCAGTCTTGCATTTCTAAGTAGATAAAAGCATGCAATTGTTATTGCATTTTATGTAGCAGTAATATATGATAGGAGAGAAAAAAAACAAACTCTCCTTGAATTAACCACAACTTCATTCTCTAGTTTTACCCTACGTGAAAAACCTCTCAACCTTGACATTGTTCAACATGAGTCATATCTTAGATTAGAGGGTGGGGAGGGGAAGGAATCTTTCATTGCTCTTTTGCCATTTTTTTCTTGGAAAGCTTTGGATAAACTCTGTTAACTATGACATTTAAAAAAAAAACCACATAACTGTAACCACGTTGTTCTGCTTATTTACACTTATTCATTTGCAACCTCTCTCAACCTTCAGCCTGTTTTGGTCACCCAGATTTGCTTTCTTTTTTTTTCACAGAATGCCATGAACTTGCCTCCTGACAAAGCACGGCTACTCCGACAATATGACAATGAGAAGAAATGGGAGCTGATATGTGATCAGGTAAGTGTAGCAGCCCAAAGGCACTTTAAAGGTACAGAATCTCTGCTAAGCTGGTTTTAGAAAAACTATTCCAAGGTTGTGATAACAGGAACATGGGAAGCTGCCTTGTACCAGGACCAATGATTTGTCTCTTAAGGCAGATGATTGCTTATTGTTGACTAGAGGAGCGTTTTTCCTGTTGCCAATACTTGGTGATCCCAGGGACAGAAACTGGAACTTTAAGCTTGTAAAGAATGCATTTTCCTGCTAAGATCTGTACTTCTCCAATTGTGAAACTTTTTGAAATTTCTTAAAAAATTAGCACAAAAATAGAAACATCTTTGATTTCTGCTTGGCTTAAAAGCCTCTTCCCCATCTCTCGTTCTCTCTCTCTCTCTACACACACACACACACACACACACACACACACACACACAACCACTTTGACCCAAAGGTGCTTTTTCAGGAGGCAACTGGACTTACTTGTTTTTTCTTTTGAAGATGTTTCTCTTCTCATCCAAGAAGCTTGTTCAGCTCTGACAGGATAGTGGGGAATGGAAGGATTTATATACCTTGCATATTCCTTGATCCTTAAATCCTTCCATTCCCCACTATCCTATCAGAGCTGAAGAAGCTTCTTGGATGAGAAGAAAAACGTCTTCAAAACAACAACAACAAGAAAGTCCAGTTGCCTCCTGAAAAAGCACCTTTGGGACAACCATCACCTGGATGACTGAGAATCTCTACAGACACAGCACTTTGGGGTGTATAGACACTGTTTGGAAAATATATCTTTATTTTATCTCTTTGCCAAAGATGAGCCAGTTGTGTTTCATTTTCAGCTTTTCCCACCCTAAAGCAAGCATTACTGTAATGATCATAGTTCCCATCATTATGATTAGGCCTAAAGACCATCTTGGTGCTAGGCCAAAAGAAGTAGCTGTCCATTTGGAGAAGAGGCTCAGAAGCTGCAGAATATGTCATGCTCAAGATGCTGATGCCGATCGGTCAGAAAACAGCAGGGGAGAAAATAGTTGAAGTAACATGTAAAGCTTTCTTTTCTAAAATCCACTTGAATTGCATCACTTCAAGTTCAGAGCAGCTCAGAGCTGAAGCCCTAATTCAAAGCATCTTTCCTATCTATGTACTTGAATATGTTAGGGGTTTTTTTGTTCTGGATTTGGGTTTGGAGGGTCTTTTTTTTTTTATCCTGGCATTTTTTCTGTGTGACATGGAATAGAGATGGATTAATTTTCCAAATATTCAGCACAGGGCAGTGGTGAAATCTTAAATTTTGTTACTACCGGTTCTGTGGGCGTGGCTTGGTGTAATGGGGTAATGGTAATGGGGTAATGTGACTGGCTGGGTGTGGCCAATTTTTTTTTTTTTTTTTTACTTTTAAAACCATTTTTCGGCGAAGAGGTTGTAAAAAAATGCTTTGAAAAGTCTCTGACGATCACAGCTGAGTTGCCTGATCGGCAGAGACTTTTTTTCTTTTAAATGCCTCTGACGATCAGGCAACTCAGCTTGGATTGTCAGAGGCATTTAAAAGAAAAAAAGGGTTTTTTTCTTTTAAAAGTCTTTGATGATTCCAGCTGAGCCGCGCGATCATCAGAGGCTTTTTTTTTTTACTTTTAAAAGCATTTTTTCTGCCGAAGAGGTTGTAGATCTCTTTTACTTTTAAAAGTAAAAAAAAAAGCCTCTGATGATTGTGCGGCTCAGCTGGGCGGGGGGGGCAGGGATTTTTGCTACCGGTTCTCCGAACCACCCGCCTCCATCACTACCAGATCGGGCGATCAGGTCCGAACCGGGAGCATTTTACCCCTGGCACAGGGTTTCACTTTTTCTTCTTTCTTGACCCAGTGACCTTGGCTCTGAAAATGATACAATCCCGACAAATTTTAGTTCATTCATTTTCTTTGTGAGGTTGTTGGCTGTGACTTCCCTTGCCTGGAACTCTGTCTGTCTGGTTTCTGCACAGGTGAAGCCGCCATGCTTAAAGTGTTCTGCAGCATAGGCAAAAAAGTGATATGACTTAATATAGGTACCCCTCATTTAACAACTTGTTTAGACTGTTCACAGTTACAGTGGGGATGAACTTTGCAACCGGTCTTCACATTTATGACCTTCACAGTTCTATAAAGCAAGCCAAAGCTAAAGTAAAATCACAAAATCGTGATGTTTTACTTAGCAACTTCTTACTTAACAAGTTGCCAGTCCCAATGGTGATCACTGAATGAAGACTACTTCTAGTAATTTTTTTTATTTATTTACTAGGACTTATGAAACTGCAATCAACATTTTGGTGGGAAATGGGTTTATGTTTTGGTCATTGTTCATTAATTAAAGAAGCTCTTAGAAGAGAATCCCTCAATACTTATATCCAGCTTCGGAGAGGCAAAGCAAATATTTTAAAAAATATTATATAAAAATAAGATATCGTTAATCTTGGGAAGACTGTTACTGAAGACTTTAAAAAAGAGGACTAGACTGGGCAAGTTTGCTTCACGTTTAGCACTTTTGAAACTGAGCCAGAAAGTTTGTCAGAAGTTACAAAGACACAACCGAAATTTAATAACTAAAAATTGCTGCTCTGTGGGATATGCCCTATATATGCTGTAGAGCAATTGTCAAATAGTTTTGGAATTGCAGAACTATTAGCTTGTGTTTATTAAATACTCTATGTGGAACATTTAAATCATTGTATGGCTTAAAAATATACAGTAGTTTACTGAGACACAGTGGCAAACTGTTTAACCTGCTGTATGTAACTCATTTCCTTGGGCATGTTTATCAATAGCCAGCATCTTTAGAGTGAAAAACCCATGAGTTGCATTTTTCCTTACACCTTACACCATCAGCCAGCAGGATTCAAGAAGAATACAAGAATTACATTAAAAATACAAGAAATAAATGAATTACAGGTAGTCCTTGACTTACAACCATTCATTCGGTGACTGTTTGAAGTTACAACAGCATGAATAAAAGTGTTTTATGACTGTTTTTCACACAACTATTGTAGCATCCCCATGGTCGTGTGATCAACATTTGGATGCTTGACAACTGACATGTATTTATGGTGGTTGCAGTGTCTCGGGATCATGTGATCACCTTTTGTGACCTTCTGATGAGAAAAATCAATGGGAAAACCAGATTCACTTAACAATTTTGTTGCTAACTTAACTGCAGTGATTCATTTAACAACGGTGGCAAGAAAAGTCATAAAATCGAACAAAACTCAGTTTAACAACTGTCTTGCTTAGCAATGGAAATTTTGGGCTCAATTGTGGTCGTAAGTCGAGCACTACCTGTGTACGGTTGGGGCCCAGGCAACGTTACTCATGAGGCTAAATTTAATTGCATTCATTTACAATCCATTTCAGATTAAAATTCAGCAATTTCAGAGTCCACAGATATACTGACGTCAGGACTGAGACGACCTAATGGGAATGGGAAAATATGAGAACTACATTAGCATCTTACTGTCTGAAGCAGGGGTCCCCAACCTTTTGGACCTCAGGGACCACTAAATTCATAATTTTAAATCCCATGGACCACTAATATGATCTGCCTAATGACCGGCTGGGTGGGTGTGGCTATGTGGTTATGTGACTGGGTTGGCATGGCCAACTCAATGGCCAACTTGTGTCACTCACATCGAGGGGCACCTCGACAGCCTCTACTCACCCTCCCCTGCCAGCCACTCCTCACCTTCCCGCCCAGGCTTCTTAGGGCCCCAACAGGAAGCAATTGTTGAAGCTAAGCAGCCACCATGAGAAAGAGTTGGCAAAACAGCTGGCTCAGTTCAAATTGGATCTGACTGAGAAGGAGGCTCAGCAGAAGCACCTCACTGAGGACTACAAGCATAGGCTTTCCAAGCAGAGGGAAGACCTGTGGGAGTGCAAGGCCAGGTACCGGCACCTGGAGGCTCAGAGGGCTGAGATGGTCAGCCAATTCCAGGCCATGATGCAGTCCCACTGGAACAAGGCCCTTTGGCTCTTTGCCACCAGTGGCGCTTCCCTCCAGCCTTCATCCAAAGGCCTGCACCAGGAGGCTGAAGCAGACCCCAAGTTGGAATTTCTGCCCCCCTCTGCCCCACACAAGAAGACCCCAAAGGGGTAGACTCTCTGCAGCAATACAAATGTTCATTGCCCGTATCTGGCCCAGGGGCCGTAGTTTGAGGATCCCTGATTTTAGTGCAATATAAAAAATGCAAATAATTTTTCTGCAGACCACCAAAATTTTCTCGCGGACCCCCAGTTGATGACCGCTGATCTGAAGCACCTTGGTCCAGCCAGCAAATCTTGATTGGAATAGAAAGTCCCAATTCTTGTTTTCAGTTTCCTCATCAGTTTGGTGAGGCAGAAATCAAAGTACCCGTCTCCTCAGCTTCTTCTGTTTTAAGGTTTCTACAATATATTGGAATGTTCCTCCTCTCCTGCAGCCTGTTTGTGGCTGACCTATTGACTCCTTTTTGAATTATTTACCAGTGGGAATAAAGAGCAGCCGTGAAACAGAAACTTCATAAAGAGATTTAGATGAAGCATTTGGTGTGTGATGTTTTTATAGGTCCAGCAGTGCAATTATGGCACATGGCTCAAGCTGTTTTCCTAAAAATTGATGTACAGTTTGCACCCAGTCCTGACATGATCCTGTTTGGCTTTGACAGGCTTTTCAAATGGCTTTTGGATTGTGGCCTGGAATCTCTCTGAAATCAGGGAAGGAGGTCAAAAGGGGTGGATTTGGTAAATAAATTAGTTCTGGGGCTTTTTTAATGACTGATCAAAAGAAACTGGGACCTTATAAAAAGCCACTTTGGAAATAGGTGTGAAAAATCTAGTTTCTAATATATGACAGATATGATTGCGTATAAATTTAGGTTTTGAATAGACAGAAATATCCTTGTGATGGCTTCACTCAGGTGCTTCATTCAACACTTTTCCACACAGGATCCTCCTCAGTCTGTAGAGGTAGGATGTGCAAGTGAGGATGTGCATTATTGCTTAACGCATTGTAAGCCG